GAACGACTTAAGGCCTCACGAGATAGACAAAAGAGCTACGCCGATAAACGACGAAAACCCTTGGAGTTCCAGGTTGGAGACCGTGTTCTGTTGAAGGTCTCGCCCTGGAAAGGCATGATATGCTTCAGAAAGCGTGAAAACCTAAATCCAAGATACATAGGACCCTTCGAGATCCTCGCTAGGATCGGTCCCGTAGCCTACAAACTTCGTTTACCGCAAGAACTTAGCAACATTCATCCTGTATTCCACGTTTCGAATCTTAAGAAATGCGTATCCGACGAAACCTTTATGATTCCTCTCGACGAGATTGAAATCAACGAGAATCTGAACTTCGTAGAAGAACCAGTCGAAATCATGGATAGAGAGATCAAACGAACGAAACAAAGTCGCATCCCGATAGTGAAGGTTCGCTGGAATGCCAAGCGGGGACCTGAATTCACTTGGGAACGCGAAGATCAGATGAAACGGAAGTATCTGCATCTCTTTTCTAATCCATGATTTGTATTCTATGTTCGAATTACGGGACGAAATTCCCTCTAACGGGGGGATGATGTGACAACCCGAAACTTTTTCCGTTATCCTTACTCAATTTCCGTTAATCAAATTCGGGTTTTTATTTAATTCCGTCAAATTTGATAGTTTGGGAAAGACTTTGCGTTTAAATAAATCAATTCGGATTTATTTCTGTTCACGTCAGTATTATTTTTGGACTAACGGAATATTCTAAACTTAGTGCATCAAAGGAATCAGTGTTATGATGAATTGGTTGAAGTTCTAGTCATGAAGCAAACCGAAAACCTCCTCAAAAAGGAGTTTTCGGTCAAGATCTTTGGGTTTTCGGTCAAGGCGACCGAAAACTCCCTTATACATATTATATTTCATGATCATTTTGATCATTCTTTCCCTTTACAAGTCTAGAACTTGAAAACTCTCTCAAGTATCATAAGATCTTCTTGTAAATCCTCAAAAATGTAAGTGTTTCTTTCACCTTGAATTGTTGATAGATCTTCTTAACTAGCATCACCCTTCGATTTCATCCATTAACTTCATTTTTTGGGTTTAATCTTCAAGAACACCAAGAACACCAAGAACACACACTAGTGTTTTGGTCCAAAATCAACTCCATTAGCCTCTAAAATCGTAAGTATTACTTTCCTATACTTATTAGCTAGTCGAAACTCTTGTTTAAGGCCTTGAAATCATCATTTATCCAAGAACAATAAGTGTTTTCGGTCTAGTGAATCTCCTTAGACCGAAAACCCTCATTAAGAGGTTCTTATAGCCTTAAACCTTCCTAAGACTAAGCATGAACCCTAGACACCGATCCCATTAAGCATAACCCTTGAAAAACATCATTTTTACAAGATTTGATGAGTTTTCGGTTGAATCTCCTTAGACCGAGAACTCCATGACCGAAAGGTCATTGAACCGAAAACCCCTTTGGGCCGAAAACCTCAAGAAACATACTACTTGGACCGAAAACTCCTTTAAGTGGCTATACAACCCTTTTATGCAATCCTAAGTGATTGTAACACTTCCATTTAAGGATTTCTTAGTCCTTAAAGTGTTATTCTTTACCTGATTAGTTGAGTAAACACTAATTGTATTCATATATGTGTCTTTATATGCTAAATAGGATCCTTGTGTGCTCAAGTCTTCACTTGACACTTAACATCTTTTTTTCCGATCTTACATTCGCATCACTCACTTCAGGTGAGTTCATACCCCTATACTTTTTCCGAGTTTTTCATGTTTTCATAGGGGAATACAAGTAAAAGTACAAGGAAACTTGTGCTCAAGTATATTATTTTGTTTAAAATAATTTTATGTTCAGTGTGCTTTTAACACAGAAAACCGTTTTACCAAAAGATTAAGAAATCAACTCGTAGAAACAGTTTTCAAAACTAAAGCAGGGAACTTGTAAATCTTGTCATAAAATGTGATATTTTATAAAGGATTTATACAAAAACCTAAACAGGATTTTAGTATTATTACTTGTAAATTTGTTATTTTAAGTTGGAGACACGTCCTTGGTAACACTCCATCGGATTCGAGAGTGTAGGACTAACCCTTGTAACCAGAATCTCTTGTAGGGAGAGCGTGACTATTGTGTATAGATCTATACGGGACTGACTATCCCGCACCTAAACTGCTAGCTACAGTTAGGCAGCCATGCCTAGGGTGACAAAGTCATAAAAAGATACTGGCCCCCGTTACGTGTCACATCCAGTTTAATGTATGGTTATAAAACTCGCAACCTAGATAACAGAGATTTACTTTTGTAATAATGAAACAAGTGAACTAACCTCAAAGTAATAACCGATTTGATTACTAGAGGGCATTAGTAATACCCTTAGGATTTAGTTCACTACTTATTTATTAGTTTTATTTATGTAATAAGACTAATACATTTCACTGAGAGTAAACAAGGTTTTTCAAGGAAACTACATCTAACGATACAAGTATGGTAGATACTTGTACACCTCATTCCAGATCAGATAACCAACTATCAACTTTTATGGAAACTATAGGATTTTCTTGGGAAACGCTTTTCAAAGGATCAAAGAAACATTTCTTTCACCAGAACTAAATGCTTATGAACTCACCAGCTTTATGCTGATATTTTTTTTAAACTGCTTGTATTCTCAGGGCAACAATAGACAGGTACTCTTGCCAACTTTTGGAGAAGACGGAACATTCTGAAGTCACGTTTTTACTTTTGCTATATATACTGATATGTATAAATCATGTTTTCAAACAATGCAAATATTCTTATTATAATGTAATGGTTGTGTTCACTTCGTTTACTATGATACAACTGTTGTGATACTACGCATGACGTCCTCCGCCCCGTAACGTTTCCGCCATCGGTTTCGGGGTGTGACACCAAGGCCTTTACTTGATCCATTTATTTTCCATAATCCCGAAATAAGAAATTTCTCGAAAACAGGATGTTACAACTCTCCCCACTTAAACTGGATTTCGTCATTGAAATTCGTCTCTGTTACAATTTCTAAAACAACACCAACATATTCCATGAACTCCCTCTAACCATTTCGAAATCAAGGCATCTTACAAAGAAAACTCGAGAGACCACTCGGAAACCCCCAACTGCCAACAAGTAACCCAATAACTTGAAAATGCTCAATGCAACAATTTTCTTTATCTCCCTAACTGCATGACCCAACTTCCAGAGAAAACCACACAAACCGGGAACTCTCAGAACTATAACCACAAACCAACTTCGTCACTATACTCCCTGAAACCGAAAACCCATCAGTTTATACTTCAGAAACCTTACCCTATGACTGATGATCATCCATTCGTTGAAACTACCCCTTTTCTTCGAATAAGAACACTAACAAACACGCGAAACGCAATACTCAAAACACACCGATCGTGAATTCCAACCAATCTCAAATCCAAAAGTTGTACCAAAAACCTTAAATACACCCTTGACTCCATGACAAGTCATTACCAACCCACTACTCCTACGAGCAAAGATGCTCAATCCAAGAATTTTCACGTTGCATCGGAATCCTTCATCAGCTCAGGTGTACCTCTGGCTGAAAAATCACTCGAGACGTCTACAACGAACTTCGTGACTCGAGATTTCAGAACCAACTCCTCATACTGGAAACCAAACTCCTAATAGACAGATCACAAGAAGACGAGGCCCACCATAGCAACCATTCATTAAGCGACTTCCGGTGCACAAATAATATATCATTCTAAATAACGTTTTCCGACCACATGATCCAAACCAGCTGGTCACCGAGTCTCCCGACTCCCAAAAACAATGCACTGTCATCCAACCATGCCAATAAAACTAACGATCCGAGACCTAAGAGTCTCAACCAAATGACTACCGGGTCTCGCCCATAAGAATCACACAACCACTGGTTCACGATACATCGTGACACCTTTTAACCACTAAAACGATAAGCTCACGGTACTACGTCGTTCTTACCGTTGTTCCATTACAAGCCTGAAGACTCACGACCAGCACCACAGGGTCTAAAGATACTCAACCATCAACCCACTGTCTTGCAGAAAACTCATTCAACATTCCTTTCGACGCTAACCGAACACGACCCAAGCCATACCCTTTTAGCACGCACAATTCCCTCCACAACACAGATTGTTACTAATGCAAAAACTTAGGCGAAAACATGGTCACACACATCTAGAGAATGAGATAGGCGGTTGCATTCTTGTTCCAATTCAAAGGCTATAACCCAAATAAAAACCATGCATATAATTCGAACCAAGTGATCCATTGCCATCTTGCCCAACCCACATACACCCTCACGACAATATATAATGAACGTATCTCCATATGCGCCCTCAAGAGAATCGCATAACGAACCCTGGATCTACTGCAAGACTCCTTTCTCACAACCTTACCCATAGGGTGTAGTACCGGTAGATCTAACCGAAATGACGAACCTCCGCCGCTAACAGAAACATTCTCTTGGATGGCCGAACTAAGATTTGACAACTTGATTGAAACAGAACAGATCCTACCATCACACGACTAGCTCGATATAACTTCCAAGGAACCTCTCTATTGACGATAAACGAATGACTAACGATCGAGAGGAGAGAGAGAGAGAGTAAGCTTTGTTTTGATTGAATGCTCATCTTTTAACCACAAAAACTATTAGCTGCTGCTTTTTCTTTTTTCTTTTTCAAAATAAAACCTATTTAAAATTACACACTACCACTTCCTACCTTTTTACAACTTGGATGCTACCATTTTCTTTCGCCTATGTGGCATCAAAAAATCCTATATGCCAAGCTGCTAGGAGTGTTACTACTCTTCTGGCCTAATGGGAACTATCCATAAAATAATTTTTTTAAAAATTATATTTTTATAAAATCTCTTTTGCAAAATAAAAAATAAATGATTATTTGTACTAATTTGATAATTTCCAATTATGACATTTTATCGATTTCCATTAAAATCTTTGCGTTCCTACAATACATCGATATTCATAGATCCTCGGCGATTATTCTCATTTCAGGGTTGGGAGTTTACGTTCTTTACCTGTTTACCTATCGCTCTGTAAAATCTCTCTTTCTCTCTGTCTTCCACACACCATAACAAATCGGTACGCTTCCTTCATCTTAATCTTGCATTTCACGTTATCTTCAATGGTTATTCGTATGTGTATGTGTTTCTGCGTGTTTTATTTGCAGCTCAATGATCTAATTTAGTTGGCGTGCATCGCATTAACAGGTGAATACTATCTTACTCGGATTTTCAACGATCAGGGTTCTAATTGAGAAATTCCGATTGTAGAATTACGTTTCGAGTTCTGATAATTACATAATTCGTTAGGTTTAGGTAAGAAGTCTCACTCTCGATAGTCAATGCTACATTAGCACCTAAGCTTCTGTTTCTCTTTTTCTCTGCGGTTAATATGGACTGATTATTTGTTAACATGATTTAGGTGAAGCTACTGTTCATAATTGAATCGATCATTCCGTAATAAACTGTCTGAAACTTAAATTTTTTAGAAATGAGTGTGGTTGGGTTTGATATCGGGAACGAAAACTGTGTGATCGCTGCTGCAAAAAACCGTGGGATTGATGTATTATTGAATGATGAATCAAATCGCGAGACACCTGCTGTGGTGAGTTTTGGTGAGAAGCAAAGGTTTTTGGGTTCTGCTGGAGCAGCATCTGCTACTATGAACCCTAGATCTACTATTTCTCAAGTTAAAAGGTTAATCGGAAGTGAATACAAGAATCCACTAGTGCAGGATGATCTTAAGTTACTACCTTTTGAAACCAGTGAAGCTTCTGATGGTGGTGTTTTGATTCACTTACAGTACTTGAATGAGAAACACACTTATAGACCTGTGCAGATTTTGGGAATGCTGTTTGCACATTTAAAGCAAATGGCAGAGAAAAACCTCGAAACCCCTGTTTCAAGCTGTGTGATTGGGATTCCATCATACTTTACAGACTTACAAAGGCGAGCTTATCTTGATGCTGCACATATTGCAGGTTTAAAACCTTTGAGATTAATGCATGATTGCACTGCAATTGCATTAGGTTATGGAATTTACAAGACTGATTTTTCCGATTCACGAACTACAAATGTGGTGTTTGTTGACATTGGACATTGTGACACTCAGGTGACAGTTGCAGCTTTTGAACAAGGGCATATGAAAGTTTTATCCCATGCTTTTGATAATCATCTAGGAGGTAGAGATTTTGATGAGGTTTTGTTTAAATATTTTGCTGAAAAGTTCAAACAAGAATATAGCATTGATGTTTCCTCCAACACACGAGCTTCCATAAGGCTAAGGACAGCATGTGAGAAGTTGAAGAAGGTTTTAAGTGCAAATGCTGAAGCCCCACTTAACATTGAATGCTTAATGGATGAGAAAGATGTTAAGGGGTTTATAAAAAGAGAAGATTTTGAGAATTTGTGCTCTGAGTTACTGGAAAGAATTAGTAGTCCTTGTTATAAGGCTGTAAATGATGCTAGAATAAGTGCTGATAAAATATATGCTATTGAGCTTGTTGGTTCTGGGTCCCGCATACCTGCTATTATGAGAAAATTAACTTCTTTATTTGGAAGAGAACCAAGGAGGACATTAAATGCAAGTGAATGTGTTGCTAGAGGATGTGCACTTCAGTGTGCAATGCTTTCCCCAACTTTTCGTGTTAGAGATTATGAGGTTTTTCTTTAAAACTGATTTTAAAATTTCCCAAGTTTCTCCATTTTGTGTTAACCAAATATTCACATTCCATTGTTATTTCTTGTTTATAGGTTCAAGATTCATTTCCTTTTGCAATAGGACTCCAATCAGATGAAGGGAAAACTATTGCACTACCCAATGGTGCCTTGTTTTCAAAAGGGCATCCTTTTCCAAGTTATAAAATGCTTTCATTGCATAGACATAATACTTTCTATTTGGAAGCCATTTATACCAATGAGAATGACTTGCCTCTTGGAGTATCCTCCAAACTCACACATTTTACAGTAATAATATCTTCACTTCTCACTTTTTCAATTCTTGTTTTTTAGGACACCACAAGTTGTACTGCATTTGACTCAGACTGATGTCAACGTGACAAAAGCTGCAACCTTTTGTCATACCCAAAAAGTGGAACAGCTTTTGTTTCACTTTTTTGTTACATTTTTTGTCCTATTGACATCAGTAGTACAGTAGTACAACATATTTTGTTTTATTTTGTACAATGTAACAGAAAACATGGAGTTAATGATTAGAGTAAATTAGACGAATGGTCCTTATGGTTTGGGGTAATTTGCACGTTTGGTCCCTAACTTATTTTTTTTAACTCGGAAGGTCCCTATAGTTTGTTTTTGTTGTGCGTTTGGTCCTTGTCTTACCTAAAAAGACTATTTTGTCCTTGATTTTTTAATTTATTTAAATAAAGTAGGGTAGGTAAGGTAAGGTAAGGGGAGGTGGAAGTGGAGTTGGGGGTGCGTTTATTTAAATAAATTAAAAAATCAAGGGCAAAATAGTATTTTTAGGTAAGACAGGGACCAAGCACGCAACAAAAACAAACAATAAGGATCTTCCGAGTTAAAAAATAAGTTAGGGACCAAACGTGCAAATTACCCCAAACTATAGGGACCATTCGTGTAATTTACTCTAATGATTAAATATTTTTTTCCAGATTGGTCCTTTCTCAAGTGGGGAAAAGTCAAAGGTAAAAGTTAGATTCCACCTAAATCTTCATGGAATTGTAACAATAGAATCTGCTTCAGTAAGTATACTTTCTAATTCCCTTAATTATTTAAAGATAAATTTAGTCATTGGCTTTATAAATATAAAATATAAAATATAAAATATTAAAAACATACACCTCCATCTTGTTTCTTGATTCAGCTTATAGAAGAAGATCATCCTCATTCGCCTTCAGAACACATGGGGACTGAAACTCACATGTCAAATGGCGATTCTACCCCTTCTACTACACATACAGTAAGCAACAACTCTGAATACGATCATATGACATTGTTTTTACTTTTTATAACAACATGTAAAAATAAAAAATAAAAAATAAAAAACACTGTTTAATTGTCTTAGGGTGATGAAATGAGAAAAAGCAAAGTCAAGAGACATAATATTCCAGTTTCTGAATATGTTTTTGGAGGAACAACAAGAGCTGAGTTAATTGAAGCTCAAGAAACTGAAAGAATGTTGGCAAATCAAGATATATATGTGGAGCAAACTAAAGAAAAAAAAAATACCCTTGAATCTTTTGTTTATGACACACGTGAAAAGGTTTACCAAAATACCCTCTCATTGTATATAGCGAAATAAATAAATAAATAAGTAAATAATATTTTTTTTTTTTTTTTTTTTTTTGTAATTTAGCTTTTAAGTACACACCGGAGCTTTGCTACAGAGGAAGAGAGAGAAGGAATCTCTAAAAATCTGCAAGAAACTGAAGACTGGTTGTATGAAGATGGTGATGATGAATCTCAACAAGCTTATATCCAAAGGTTGGAGGATCTCAGAAAGGTATCTTTTTTTTTTCTTTTAACTTTGATTTTTGATTCCTTTTTTTTGTAAAAAAAAATGTAATTTCATTTGTTAATTACATGTGTGTAGTTAGTAGATCCTATTGAAAATAGATACAAGGAAGAAGATGCTCGAATACAAGCCACAACTACTCTCTCAAATTCCATTAAACAATATCGTAAAGCTGCAGATTCACTTCCCCCTTCTGACAAAGATGCGGTATTTTTAATAAATGAAACTGTAGCATTTATTAATTTTATATTGTAAGAATAATATTAATTATGATGTCAGCAAGTAATTTTCCAAATTTTTTTAACAGGTTTACAGTGAATGCAACAAAGCTGAGCAGTGGTTGCTTGAGAAATCCCAACTTCAGGATTCAATGCCTAAAAATGTGGACCCCGTTTTCTGGTCAACTGAAATTAATCGAAAAGCCGAAGTTCTCGAGAGGTAATTCTAATATTTATTTATTTATTTATTTATTTATTTCCTCATTAAGTCCCGGCTGAAATGACCATTTTACCCTTACATTCTAAAAGACAAATTTGACAATATTCAAGGTGGGTAGAAAAAAGAAGACTAACATATTATTGTTGTGTTTCAGAATGTTGAAGCATATAACAAGAAATAAGTATTCAGGCTCAAGTTATGAGGAAGCCATGGGTTCAAATTCAAACCAAAGGGACAAACCTAAACCTGATGACATGGATGTAGATTGATAATTCATGATTTTAAGATTTGTTATGAGATTTTATGTATTGAGGAAAACAAGCATTTTCAAATATCATTTTGAACATCAAGAATCAAATTTTGTTTGAAATTTCATACTTTTCATTTGTTGCGTCATATCACATATGAGTTGTGTCCTTGCATTTTCTATTCAAAACTTGTTTCTTTTGATAATTTTTTTTTTTTTTTTAATGAAAAATTCGATAGTCTAATCAGTTATGTAAGGGTTAATGACAGGAAGGCAACAGTTATGGTTTATTAGAAAGTTGCATCTTTATTTTTAGCCAGAATGATTTCAATTTAAGAAGTCATAAACACTCACTAAGTTTAGGGTTTAGGCTGGAATGTCAACAATTATTTTGCTTTCTGTTTTGATTGTTTAATTTAAGATTCTTTCCATTTACAACTTAAGTTTAGGTTTAGGCTGGAATTTTTTTTTTTTTTGTTACTAGAGTATAGAAAAAAAAAGTATATATATCTAACAACCAAGTACTTGTTCAAACTTTATCACTTCAGTGATTATTATTATTATTTTAATTTTCTAGAGTGGAGTTTTAAATTTGTACAGAGTACAATATTATAACCGTCTATAGCAAGTTGATTGCTGGCTGGAACGATATAATGGGTGGTAAAAGTAGAACTTATTCAATCCAATGCTCAACCTACTTCTACTCTGTCCACCCAAATGAGTACAAGAAATAATTTAAGGGGCCTTTGATGGACAAAGAAATCTATAGTGATAAAACATGTATAACATATAGTTTGTTATTAATATATACTTTTTTCTATATTCTCATAATATGATAAACCATCTTATTTTTATCTATCGGTTAAAACTATATAATTGCATAAAGTGTTGATAACTTGTCTAAAACCTTTACACGTTTAAACACTCAAATATTCAAAATTTTAAGCTTTACAAGGATTTTTATTTTTAATAGTTGTAAGTGTGAATATTTTATTACATCCCAAGTTTATAGATATGAAAATTTTATTATTTTCTTTTAAAAATGTTACCTAATTATGGTGGTGAAATTTGTTTTGTATTTGAATTAACATTCCTATAATTGGGTTTTGTTTAACTACCTTATGGTGTGTAAACAAGGCTTTAGGGCATGCAAAGATTGCTCAATGTATCCGAACATAGATCGTTGCTCGTGTACTTACTTGTGTACTTGTGAGTAGTAGTGTGCAAAGGGAGCTAAGGTAGACTACAAATTGAGAAATTTTAATTGTGACAACATTTGAGGGATTTAGGGATATAGCTATTTTGAAAGTAGATTTTGGAGCTGTTCATTCGAGAAATGCAAATATAGTATGAATAAAAAGTGGTTACCAAAAACATACTTTGGATGTCACAACAGAAGAAGGCCGAGGAGCATAGAGAATCATGGTGGATGGAGGATATATATGTGATGAGTTTTGAGAAGATAAAAATGATATTTTTTTACTAAAACATTTTTAACGGCAAACGGAAAACTTTTAAAATAACTAGTTTATTTTTAGATCATTTTGACAAAACCACAAAGAGGATCCAATTACATGAACTAGACAGATTATGGTAACCATAAGATGTTAAGAACTACAAGATTTGAAGACTTTGATCCCATTTAGAATTGAGAAGTTGATGAAGATAACAAAGAACAAGAAATTGATCTTCTTGTATCCACCATCAAAAGTTTATGAAGAAAAAAACAAACACCACCTAAGACACTCAAAGATGTTAGTCTTCACTTGTATTAAGTTGTTCTTAAGCCATTAAGACTTACATCAAATAAACCTTAAGGAGAACTAACTTATGGACACTCAAACTTCTTACTTCACAAGGCAACAACTTTTTTAAAAGGTTGCTTAAAATAGCTTACGGATTAAAAGATTTTGTTCTAAAATAAAAGCTTTAAACTCCTACTTCCATTTTTTCCCTTTAGTTTGAACTTTTGTTTATGAGCTATTGAGCTAAAAACTTCTAGTTCTAAAAAGTTGGTAGTCAAACACACATTTTCTTCTCATAATCACTTCCATCTTTCATGGCTAGTAGATACTTCTTGTTTTTTTCCCTAGTATTTGCTTTCACTATTTTATAATTTCTATATAACATTTGCATGCTTAATCGTATCACCTTTTTACTTTCAGTTTTATTGCTCGTATATGTTTTCTTATATAGTCACACACATATGTTTATTATCCATTGTAAAGTGATATTTCATATGCATGAGATCATCTAGTGTGAGCCTGCATTTTTCTGATGCAGGAGGTCATCAATGGAAGTGATACTATTGGAGATAGTCAGATTGTCTACATGTTTTTTATTCCTTTTGGATTACCTTATTCATTGGATTATTATTATTATTGTGTATCGCTGTTATCGCGCTGTCTAATTTGAATTATAGTATAAAAACTTGATAGAGAAGCAAATAGACGACAACAAAATACAAACGGATTAGCAGTTGTGACGAAGTGCAATTCAATTTTATTTCTTCGTTCTATAAATTGATTTATTCTTCAACTAGAAGACAAAATCTCTTTAAAAAAGGGGCATCATTCAGAAAATGACACCTGAGGTTTGCAAAATTGGCCCTATAAGATATATAATTTAATAAAATCTATTTGATATTCATTGAACCAAACACCAAAAAGAAGACAAAATTACGTAGACAATGACATTATAGTCACGACTACGACTTACAAAATGCCTCAGAATTTATCAAATTCTTTTTAAATGTCTCAAATCGATATGAAAAAAAAAAAATCTATTTCTCTTAAAAAAATAACTTCAATATACTTCGAGTGGTTTACAATCTACTTAATTATTTTTATTATAAGTTGTAATTTTGTCCATTTGACCAATTAAAAATAATGTATAACTCAACCTGATATAGTGATATGCTCGTTATAAAATGATCAAAATTGTCGAATCTAATAAAATAGAGAAAAATGCCAATGATTTTTTTATTTTTGTGTGTCATTATCTTTTTTTTATTGTGTATCGATAAATAATACTATCTATTAGGCCTTCAGATATACTCTTTATGATGATTTTTGAAAGTGTTTAATACGAGCGTTTGAATTTAATATTTATTTACTCCTTCCGTCCCAAAATTATTGTCCACAAAAAAAACACACAGATTAAGAAAACATTAATTACCACTAACTTTATACAATAAAATGACAGTTTTGTCCTTACTTTGCATTTAATGTTCCATTAAATGCTTAGTTGGTTAAGTAATAATGAATGAGTATTTTGGTAAAAATGTTATTTGTTTTTAGAAGTGGACTATTATTTTGGGACAAACCAAAAAGGAAAGATGAACTATAATTTTGAGACAGAGGGAGTATTTAACAACAATAGCAAATATTCAAATGGCTTATTTCAATAAAAGACCATGACGATATATGCTTACTATTTGAGTAAATTACACAAATATTTTCTATGATCGACCAAATTTGTTAGTTTCATTAGTATATATTGTTGTTTATATGGACCGTCCCTAATAACTACGGATGAGCATATGACCCGTTGAACCGGATATGACCGGAAAAAACCCGGGACCGGACCCTGACCGAACTGAAAATACATCTGATGGGCGGGTTTGGACCGGACCGTACCCGAAACAAGCGTTTATACCCAGACCGAATAGGAAATGAAAGGGTTATTTATTTATTTATTTATTATTAATCGAAGCTAATCCCTACCCCATTCACTTTGTCGATTTTTTTTTTGGTTCGGCTTCCTCTCCTGTTCGATCACAGACTACGAGTACACACACCCTAAAAACTTTACTATTTTCGAATACAATGATATTTGTGTTAAACGTCTAGCATATTTATCTTAAAAACAATTGTTTATATTTGGCCCCAGTACAATTTGATCCCTTAGTTTTCTTAATGAATTGTTGTATATTTAAAATAATCCAGGGGAAAAAAGTAGAAACAGTGTCTTACTTGAACTTCTTGTAAAATGCAAATTGTAAGACTTGTACGTGTCAATTCTCTTATAACTAATAGGAAAAGCCACTAATCATAGAAAATTTGCAATGAACTTTAGTAATCACACTCGGTTTTGCCTCACATAGCATATTTATCTTAAAAGCAATTACAATTCGGTCCATTAATTATAAAAACGTTATATGAAATCCAACAAATATTTAGTCCAAAAAATGTTATAATTCGGTCCAAAAACCGTAATCCAGTCTGGAACCTGGAACCGGTATACTCGGAACGTGGACCGGAACACCCAACAAATATTTAGTCCTAAAAATGTTATAATTCTGTCCAAAAACCGTAATCCAGTCTGCAAATTGGAACCGGCATACTCGGAATGTGAACTGGAACAACCTAAAATGGTTTGGTCTGCGGTCAAGGATATACAAGAATTTAAGGTTTTGGGTTTCGAGTTTTCGGTCGGGTCCAACCCATTGCTCATCCCTACTAATAACTTTTAAACTTACACCCTAAAAACACTATAATATCCTTAAGTATTTCTCTTTTAGTTTTATTTATTTATTTTATTTTATTTTTTATTTTTTGCTAAGGATACCTATGTTTTTCTAATATAAATTCAAATTTTTTATAAAATCTAAAACGTAAAATTTTTGTTATCAAAATAAAAAATCATTTAAAGGTTTATTATATATCAAATATTATGAACCTTGGGAAAAGAAAATTTCATTTTTTTTGACATCACTTTAATTTAAAGTAATATTAGTTTTTATAAAATACAAAAAAGTTATTTTTCTCCAAATTAAAAAAAAACAAATAAATAAGTTCTTCATCTTGTTATTTAAATGAGTTTGTAAAAAACAAGTCAACAATATTGTTGTTAATGTTACTTATATTTTGTTTAAAAAAATTCAAGTTTTTATAAAATTTATGTAACATCCCGAATTTTCAACCTAAATTTTTCATTTTTATTTATTCAATATTCAATGACCTTAGAGTATAATGCGAAAACGTGATTGCAAATGCGCGTGAGTACAATCGAACATTGCCCTTCTTACAAACCAATGAAATGTCTAAAAAACATTTATAACAACTGAGTAAACACTAGACTTAGTGAGTTCCACAAAATACCATATACCACAATACATTTACATGCATACATGTAATTGCTCACAAT